CAGTGGTTGGTTTTCCAGTTACTACTTCACCAGTGGTGGTTGGTTTTCCAGTTGCTACTTCACCAGTGGTTGGTTTTCCAGTTCCTACTTCAGCAGTGGTGGTTGGTTTTCCAGTTGCTACTTCACCAGTGGTTGGTTTTCCAGTTGCTACTTCCCCAGTGGCCGGTTTTCCAGTTATCACTTCAGCAGTGGTGGTTGGTTTTCCAGTTGCTACTTCACCAGTGGTTGGTTTTCCAGTTCCTACTTCATCAGTGGTGTTTGGTTTTCCAGTTACTACTTGATCAGTGGTTGGTTTTCCAGGGTCTACTTCACTAGTGGTTGGTTTTACAGTAACTACTTCATCACTGGTTGGTTTTGCAGTTACTTCTTCGCTAATTGTCGTTGGTTTTCCAGTTCCTACTTCATCAGTGGTGGTTGGTTTTCCAGGTGCTACTTCACCAGTGGTTGGTTTTCCAGTTACTACTTGATCAGTGGTTGGTTTTCCAGTTGCTACTTCACTAGTGGTATGTTTTACAGTAACTACTTTCCCAGTGGTTGGTTTTCCAGTTACTWCTTYACCAGTTGTTGGTTTGCCAGTTCGTTTGTCTTCAGTGACGGTGGATGTGGTTATCTTTATCTGAGGGCGCGGAGTTTGTGTTATTTCGGTAAGAATTCCTGATTGAAACGCAAAAATTAGTCAGTATGTCAATTATCGCAATAAAACGGAAAAATGATGAAAAATAATGCAAGTGCAATAAAAGATGTCTCACGAATAAACTTTTTTTTTTTAATTCTAAATCTTAAGTTCGAAGAACAATATATATAGAAAAAAAAAACAAAACAACAAATTACGAATATGACAAACAATTGTATGCATCACCACTAAGTACATGTGTTCGCCGTAAATAAAAAACAACAAAAAAACAAACAAAGATTGTATTTTCAGGTTTTAAAAAAAAATACAAAATCTCTAAGCTTTTAGAGCTGATATATCATACCCGTCTTCGGAGTAATTTCTACAATTGTTGTAGGCTGTTTAGTCTCCTCTTCTCCAGTGGTAGGCTGTTCAGTCTCTTTTTCTCCAGTGGTGGGCTGTACAGTGTCTTCTGTTCCAGGTGTAGAATGTTCAGTCTTCTCACCAGCTGTAGGTGCTACAGTACCGGTTACTGGAACTAATTTTTCTCCGGTGGTAGGCTGTTCAGTGTCTTCTCCAGTGGTTGGCAGTTCGACCTTCTCACCAGTTGTAGGTTCTGCAGTAGAGGGTACTGGACCTATCTTTTCTTCAGTKGTAGGCTGTTCAGTGTCCTCTTCTCCAGTGGTAGGCTGTTTAGTCTTCTCCACAGTTGTAGTTACTACAGTAGCAGTTACTGGACCTATCGTTTCTGCTGTAGTCAATTTTCCAGTTACTACTTCTTCAGAAGTGGTTGGTTTTACAGTTACTCCTTCTGCAGTGGTTGGTTTCCCAGTTGCTAAATCAGCAGTGGTGCTTGATGTAACAGTTACTGTTTCACTAGTAGTTGGTTTTACAGTTGCTACTTCATCAGTGGTTTTTGGTTTTCCAGTTTCTACTTCATCAGTGGCGGTTGGTTTTCCAGTTACTACTTCATCAGTGGTGATTGCTTTTCCAGTTACTACTTCACTTGTGGTTGGTTTTCCAGTTACTACTTCACCAGTGGTTGTTTTTCCAGTTACTACTTCACTAGTGGTTGGTTTTCCAGTTACTACTTGACCAGTGGTTGGTTTTCCAGTTACTACTTCACCAGTAGTGGCTGGTTTTCCAGTTACTGCTTCACCAGTGGTTGGTCTTCCAGTTATTACTTCACTAGTGGTTGGTTTTCCAGTTACTACTTCAACAGTTGTGGCTGGTTTTCCAGTGACTACTTCACCAGTGGTTGGTTTTCCAGTAACTACTTCATCAGTGGATGGTTTCCCAGTTACTACTTGACCAGTGGTTGGTTTTCCAGTTACTACTTCACCAGTTCTGGGTTTTCCAGTTACTACTTCATCAGTGGTTGATTTTCCAGTTACTACTTTACTAGTGGTTGGTTTTGCAGTTGCTACTTCACCAGTGGTTGGTTTTCCAGTTACTACTTTACTAGTGATTGGTTTTCCAGTTGCTACTTCACTAGTGGTTGGTTTTCCAGTTGCTACTTCACTAGTGGTTGGTTTTCCAGTTACTACTTCACTAGTGGTTGGTTTTCCAGTTACTACTTCACCAGTGGTTGGCTTTCCAGTTACTACTTCACCAGTGGTTGGTTTTCCAGTTACTACTTTATCAGTGGCTGTTGGTTTCCCTGTTACTTCTTCAGCAGTTGTTGGTTTTCCAGTTACCACTTTACCAGTGGTTGGTTTTCTAGTTACTACTTCAYCAGTGGTTGGTTTTCCAGTTACTACTTCAGCAGTGGTTGGTTTTCCAGTTACTACTTCACCAGTCGTGGCTGGTTTTCCAGTTACTACTTCACCAGTGGTTGGTTTTCCAGTTACTATTTCACTAGTGGTTGGTTTTCCAGTTACTACTTCACTAGTGGTTGGTTTTCCAGTTACTACTTGACCAGTGGTGTCTGGTTTTCCAGTTGTTACTTGACCAGTGGTGTCTGGTTTTCCAGTTGTTACTTGACCAGTGGTTGGTTTTCCAGTTACTACTTGACCAGTGGTTGGTTTTGCTGTTACTACTTCAGCAGTGGTTGGTTTTCCAGTTTCCACTTCACCAGTGGTGGTTGGTTTTCCAGTTACTACTTCACCAGTGGTTGGTTTTCCAGTTACTACTTGACCAGTGGTTGGTTTTCCAGTTACTACTTGACCAGTGGTTGGTTTTCCAGTTACTACTTGACCAGTGGTTGGTTTTGCTGTTACTACTGCAGCAGTGGTTGGTTTGGCAGTTGTTACTTCAGGAAAGGTTGGAGTAGTAGTTTTCTCTTTTGATAAGAATATTCATGGCATCAATGTAAGAACAATATTGTAAGATTTGTCATCACTAACAGGTAATTAATGTGTTTGAGAAGAAATGATAATCAATGTGTTAACAAACCTGTACATGTGATTCCATCGCCAGTGAAGCCATCCCTGCATTGRCAATTAAACGAACCAACGCTGTTAATACAATCCGCGTTTTTATCACACTTTCGTTTGCCCACTTCGCACTCGTTTTCGTCTGAAATGGAAGAACATGAGCATCATCTGTCTATATATCCACCTTATATTTAAGATCGGAAGCCTTGTCTTAAAATAAGGGAATGCATTGTTCGGTGCACACAAAATGGAACTGTTTTTTTTTTTTTTTCAACCAATAAACAAAGAAATGATGCTCTAGTGAATGACTCGTGCTCTGAAATGGAAAAAGATTACGCCGAAGCTAAAAAGGTCTAAGAAGTTTCAAGTAGATTGTGTGTGTTATGTTAAGAATACGATGTTATACCAGAGCAAATCCTGCCATCTCCAACAAATCCCTTCAAACAGCGGCACAAGTAGCCTCCAAGAACGTTACTACATCTTGCATTGGTAGGACACTTGTTCAACTCAGGAGAAGAACATTCGTCTATGTCTGTTGTAGAACGTGAAAAAAAAAAAAAACCACAAAAAAAACAACAACTATTTTTAGTAAAATAACGCAATTTCCTGGCAAATAAGTGACGTCTTCATTAAGCAGGCACTAGCTGGGTTTAGGATATTTTAAAATTTGCTTGTTAATACGTATATTTCACTGTCATTTGATACCAACCTGTGCATTTTCCATTGACGTCCTTATAACCTTCATTACACGAGCAGTAGTAGGACCCTTGAGAGTTGACGCACACGGCATCAGCACCACAAGTAACGTTGGACTCAGTGCATTCGTCGATATCTGATACATTCACATTGAAGGACAATAATCATTAGAGTACCGCACGCGTTATTCATATTTTTTCTGCAGCCCCTGCAACTTTCTAGGGTATGAGCGACCTCCCTTGGCCATTGACTGCTTTTAAATTTGGTTACTTTGAGAGAGGATTAATAACGAGTTAAATATGGGAGATTGGGGTAGAGAGAAGGGACAGAGATTACGAACTAGTTTTCTTGGTCATCGTGTGGTGTTTATTTGGTCGAGAAGTATGGGTGGCGGTGACCAAGGCAACCAGGATTTAAGTTCCTCCAGGCTCGGTGTCGTATGTGAGTTGAGTTGTTTGTTGGTTCTCCAGGTTTTCCTCCGGATCCACTAATAACAAATCCTGAATTCCAATTCGATCATGGTACGAGAGCCACACAAGGTTTGTTAGCTTCTTGCTATTAAGTGCAACCCTCGTAAAAACAAGGGCAAGGACGGTCGAGGGAAGATTAAAACGAGTATAATGTCCTCAAGGGAACCTGAGGTTGGCAGAGAAGAGTTTAAGCCCAAACTAGATCATTTGGTGAGGAAAAAGTTAGACGTAAGCTGTTCCTTACCGGTGCACGTCTTCCCATCGCCCTTGTATCCCCTGACACATCGGCAAACGAACAAACCAGGGACGTTGGTACATATCGCATGGACATCACAGGGTGGGATTTCAGTGGCGCATTCATCAATATCTTGGAAAAAAGAAATAAAAAACATGAATGCAATGAAAATATAAGTTCCAGGTTTTTTTTATCAACTTATCGTACCAAACGACTAAATTGGCCGAAATAC